GCTCACTGCAGCCACCGCCTCCCAGGTTCAAGCAATTCTCCTGCCTCAGCCTCCTGACTAGCTGGGGTTACAGGCATGTGCCACCATGCCTGGCTAATTTTTGTATTTTTAGTAGAGGCAGGGTTTCACCATATTGGTCAGGCTGGTCTAGAACGCCTGACCTTGTGGTCCGCCCGCCTTGGCCTCCCACAAGTGCTGGGATTACAGGCATCAGCTACCAGGCTTGGCCAGTCCTTTGTGAACTCAGGAATGGTTTTATTGTTTTCTAAGCATTTTAATGACTCATATTCTTTAGAAGTATTAGGAAATATCAGGTGGAGTCATTTTAAAAACAATGACAGCCTTGATTAAACTTTGTGGTTTTAACTTGTTTGTTCTGTATGAATAATAGATTCTAGTGACCTGATAGATACACTCATTTTAAGTGATTGGTAAGTCTATTTCCTCATTACCTAGTGTCTTGATCTTTTACAAGGTGATAACCATTTAAGTTTTTTTTTGAAATGGTGCCTCACTCTGTTGCCCAGGCTGGAGTGCAGTGGCACGATCTCAGCTCACTACAGTCTCTGCTTCCTGGGTTCAAGTGATTCTCCTGCCTCAGCCTCCCGAGTATCTGGAATTGCAGGCACCTTCCTCCACACCTGGCTTATTTTTGTATTTTTAGTAGAGATGGGGTTTCACCATGTTGGCCAGGCTGGTCTTGAACTCCTTATCTCAGGTGATCCACCCGCCTCTGCCTCCCAAAGCGCTGGGATTACAGGTGTGAGCCACACTGCACATGGCCTTATTTAAAGTTTTTTTAAAAAATTGTGGATATATTATTCCCTTGTAAGTTAAAAAGGCAAAAATAAATTATTAAGTGAAGCATTACAAGCGTGTGCGTGTGTGTGTGTATGTGTGTGTGTGTGTGTGTGTGTGTGTGTGTGGTTTTGCTCTTGTCGCCCAGGCTGAAGTGCAGTGGCGCCATCTCTGCCTCCTGTGTTCAAGTGATTCTCCTGCCTAAGGCTCCCAAGTAGCTGGGGTTACAGGCACCTGCCACGGCTAATTTTTGTATTTTTAGTAGAGATGGGATTTTGTCATGTTCACTAGACTGGTCTTGAACTCCTGACCTCAATGGTTCACCCACCTCAGCCTTCCAAAGTGCTGGGATTACAGGTGTGAGCCACCATGCCTGGCCTCAAATTTCTTGAATACTCAGTAGGCTCTGATAACCAGTTACTTGCTGAAGGTGGTACTAAAATCATAGAGTTCTTAACTGCCAATGAACCAGTTACCCAATTCAGTTTATGAGTAGTTCAGTGTCAAAATTAAAGGACAGATTAGATTTTTAATAATACTATATTCATGATTTGTATTCATGGCTTAAAAACAACGAGGGTGGGGGATGGGAGAGGAGCGAGAAACATTTAATCTGAGGAATATGAGCTCCTTAAAATTATCAGGTCCAGAGAGGTGTTTAAAATGTAACAGCATTCTCATCTCACTCTCCCTTGAATATCTCTTGAAGCCACTTGCTTTGGAGGCTCTAGACTAACTAATGCCAAGTAGCCATAAATGTTATATACCCTATAGTACAATAGTGTATAGCCAATCACTAACCAACGTTATTTCTGTAAAACAATGAGAATTCAGAGTGAACAACTTTTGTCATCTCTCCTTTCCTGATTTGTCTTTTCTTTAAAAATTTGAGCCTTTCTTTTGTTCTCTGGAGCACTCTCCACAAGGCAACTTGGAAGTGTGTCCCTGGCAGCAATCCTGAACCTTGACTTAACTCTGTTAATTTTGTCTCAGCTTCTTCTTTTTAGTTTAACGCAACAGAACAGTTTGGAATCAAAGAGCTGTTTTTACCAACTACAGATTTCTGTGTGAATGATTAGTTATTCTCTTACCTTTATTAATTCATTCTTTTATTTACTATGCCTTTAAGTTCATTGTATTGCAGAGAAAAACACTTGAGCTATCACAATAGGTTTTAGTTATAGTAGTATATTGGCTTAGCTATAGATGAAATGTAATTTTTAACTAAACATATATAGCTATAGCTGTTTGTATAATGAAATCTATGAGCTTTATAGAAAAGCAAAGCATTCATTCCACCATCAAATTATTTAAAAGTTCCATTTTTATATAAAGTTATTACACTAAAGACTATGAGAATAAAAAGTAAAATTTTATGAAATTATAAAGGACGGTCTTTTTTTCTTAATAAATGGCATTGTATCTCATTAGGAACTGGATATGAATACATTTCCTCTAGTTTATCAGTGTACTGTGAGTATCAATCTGAATTCTACTAATTTTTCATTCTCTGTATTTTTCTTTTCTCCTGTTTGCTTCCCTGTTGAAGGCTGAGTATGAGTTTATCAGCTCTGGTCTCTACCTAGTGGTGTTATTGCACTTGTGCGAACAAAGCTTTTCTGATATGATGGGAAATACAAATGAACCAAGCACACGTGTCCGAGTAAGTAATAATGAAGTTGGGGAGAGGGAGGGTGTGATCCAGCAAGTGTTTGCCTTGGAAAGCAGATTGTTTTTTATGTTCACGTCTTACTTCCTTTGGGAAGCTTTTATTTTTATAGTGTTTCTTAAAAATGAAGATATTGTAGATTTAATGGAAATTTGTGACTTCTGTAACAAGCAGCCTGATTTTCTCATAAAGCTGTTTTAGAGAAGTAATTTTCTAGCTCTCGAAGGTAATTGGAATGTATTTAATTGAAAAAACAGAACTGGAAACATCAAGGGAAAATGGGCTTTTTCTTACTAAAACAGAACCTCAGTATTATCACTTAGAAACCTGAAATTGAACTCCAAGAGCAAAGAGTATGGGAAATTAGCTTCAATTTATTTGTTATTGTTCTATAAAATATTACCAATGTACTAATTTTTAAGTGGCCGTATTACAAACTATTTTAGATATGGAATAGTTGGTTGTTTACTATGTACACTATTAGCCATAATATGACATTTTGGCTAGCTGTTTTTTAGGTATTTATAAGTAAATTATGCTTTTTGCCTCAGCGTACCGGAGGAAACTTCATGCTTTGCTTGTCTGGGCCATTTTGTGTAGCAAGGGCTAGGGTCTCTATATATCTGCCATTATTGTAGTATTCTGAACACTTCATATCTTGAAATATGTTTATAAGTATATCCTTCAAACTTTGTTATATTACTGTTAACTTTGATGATAAAAATGTAGTAGAGTTAATGTAATGTTTTCATTTCGAGAATTATCACATAACTGCAATTCAATGTGTATATTACTTCTAAATTAGTAAAATATTTTTCTGTATTTTATCATCATGTGGACATTATTCCAGTGAGCCAGTTAACAGATAATGATCATTGAAGAACATTATTATTATCTATCAAGAGCATTCAGAATTTGAGCAAAGCTCTCTTGACTTCTAAGTACTTTAGAAATTGTGAGCCCCTAAAACCTTAATACTGTAAAATGATTTCTAAAAAGGTACCTTAATTCTTCAGAATGAATAAACCATATAAAACCTGTAAAAACTTTTGAATTTCATGTGTTTATAAAAGTTCATATTTACAAGTTTTAAGATGGAAAATAACAAAATGTTGGATAATACTCCAAAGTGGAAGTCGTTAGGATTTTTTTTTTAATGAAAAAAGTATACTTTTTTTTGGAATAAAATGTATACTTTATCAAATTTAGGTAGGAAAATATGGATTCTTGGGAGGTTTTTTTTATTTTGTTTTTTGTTTTTTATGGCCACTGAAGTTGAATTTATTTGGGTCCAAATACAAGGGATGGTTTTTTGGCTTTTTTCCCTCCATTTCATAATTTTTTAAAGTGCTATGAGAAAACAGTATTATTATTGGATAAAATTATTTTATCTGCTCCCAATTTTAAAAAACTGGTTTCTACATGATTATAATGATTATATAAAACATTTAAAAATTAATGCCATTAAGCTTGTAATTTTTGATGTTGGGGGGATAAAGACCCCTATTTAAAGGCTTTATGATGTTTGACTTATTAAGTAGAAATGAATCTCCTATACTGATTCTCTCTTTAGAACCATTTGCAACATTTAAACTACTGTATTTCTTTCTGCATTGTTTCTAGTTTATTAACCTTGCAAGAACTCTTCAGGCACATATGGAAGATCTCGAAAGTAGGTGGAATTTCCCCCCTCCCCAGACTTGTTGAATTTACTTTTGCAAATTAAATCCACAGAGAAAAACCTAAGTATAACTCTTTTTTGCCAAATTAGAGCTTCATTTATAGGCCTAATAATACCAAAATGATTGATTTGGGAAATATGGGTTGGGCAACTGACATTAGTTTTTTTAAAGCATATTTTAAAGTATGGAAGAAAGTAATTTTAACTGCCAGTATTTCCCTTTTTTTTTTTTTTTCCAAAGAGAAATTTGTTGATCACCTTGATTTCAGGATTTATAATTTAAAAAGAAGGCATAAATCTTAACTACTAATCAAACCATATTTCTTAATCTGTTAGGATTTTTTAAATTTTGTTTTTGGTAAGAAATTTTGCCTGTTTACTCAGATTTGTTAGATCATAAAAGATATTCCTGGGCTTGTATATGATTCCAGGAAAATATGGGACCGGGAGTCATAATTCTGAATCCCTATCAGAAGCCATAAAGGGCTTATTTTGGTGAGGATTTTTTTTTTTTTTTTTTTTTGGCTTTTTTTTTTTTTTTTTTTTTTTAGATGGTATATCCTTGTTTTTGTGGTTTTTTGTTTTTTGTTTTGTTTGTTTTGTTTTGTTATAAGTCCTCGTGGGCCTTTAATAGGTAGCCAAGCTCTGCCAATAGCTCCAGTGTCTTAAGATCACATTCCGGCGTCAGGATTTCTGCCTGGGCTCATAAGTGAAGGTGCTTAATTCTCAAATCTTGACAGGCATCTGTACAGCCTACCTTCTTTTTAATCTCCTGGAACTTCCAGTGTGCTTCATACCATGGGGCACAGGTATTGGTGGCTCTGAAACGGTTCCTGGCAATTGAAGATTACCCCACCCAACCCCTGCATATTTTACTTTTTTACCCTTCATTACCCATTCCAAAACACTACTCGAAGTGTCTTTTTAAAATACGTATTCTTCAGTTGATTACTTTCTATACTCGTCTTTGAACTATTTGGAGTGTTATCTATAGTATGCATACTGTTTTTACCTTTAGAGAAAGCTCAACATCTTTTGAAGTTAAGTTTAAAAAGGACTTAGTCCTCATAGGAACCTTTTAATTCTAGATAATCTAAAACATAGATTTTTGTCATTAAGTGTATGCTACTTTCAAGTTTTAAAAGGATTTGAGATGGAATCAGGTAACATTTTCACAGTTTTAATTAGGATGTGTGAAAATAAAGGAGTCAGTGCAAACTCCTTTGGTATAAAGTTTTTTTCCCTTTATACCTTCGTTTCATATCCCGTATGTTGGCCTAATACAAAGGTCTCTCTGTTTTGTTTTTTTTTAAATTATATACTTTGTTCAATGTCATGATAGTAATTTGTTTCAGTGTATGTTTTCCCCAGATTTCTCCATTTTAAAAAACTAACATTATCATTTAAAATTTAGTTTCTTAAACCTAGTATTGTCCCCTCCTAATGTGGGAAGAAAAAGATGGAGGTGAAATATGTCCAGACTCAACTGAGCATGAAAGACATGGGTGCTACAAGTTAACCCCTAAATACCTGAAATGGATTCTGACTAAATTATCGTCTCCTGTGGAGTGGAGTTAAATGGAAAAACACAAGAAGTTTCTTAATAAGTCGTTATTTTTTAGTTTGGAATTTCTCAGTGATATAGCATAAAACTTAATAGAGTTTGTATCAGTCATGAGCTAGTTATATGTTTGTGTCATTTATTAAATGTATTTAAACTATTAGTGTTGCATAGTTTTTCTGTGCTTTGCCCTAGGTTGATTCCATTTGTTGGCTGCTCTTAATTTGTCCAATGTAAATATGAAAAGAGTGCATAAAACCTTTCTGCCCTTGATAATGGGGGAAAGATGGTGGTTAGTTGTTTATTTTAGTGAGTATGCGTTTTCTTTCACATGCAAAGCAGTTCATAGAATTCATAGTTTTATACTTACTGTGTCCTTCCTAAAGACACCCAGGATGCTTTATTTTTAACTCTTGAGCCACTAGTGACTCTTGAATAAATTGAGGTCAGAAATATTGCAAAGGTGATAAGTTTCTGACAGTGTGGAGACTGGGGAATAATCTCAACAATAGGTTTTACTGAATCCAGTTACTTTAATTTAGGCTGTGTCTATATGAAGCATTTCCAACTTACTAAATGAGCTTTTATCTTGGCATTGTATAGACATAGCTTTGATGTAAATTGCAAGAACACCCATAACCTCTTATTCTATGTACATTTCTTTTCATTCTCATCGGATGCATCAAACATGCAGCGGTAATAAGCCAGATTCTACTCAGGTGTGTGAGAGCACTTGCCTTAAGTTCACTTTTTTTCCTAGTGTTTATATATCATTAGCTACTATGAACACAGATTTATCTGAGAAAAAAATGTTTAGAAGATGCTCTTGAACATTTTTAAGCATTTTCATTTTTATAAAAATTGATAGAACATTACAAAAAGATGTGGGGGGCGGGGGCATTGTGGATGGGAATCACCCGCAGTCAAACCACCCTAACCCTGTCATATAACTTATCATTTTGATTAAACAATATACTAAATTGGGATTTTTTACAAGTCATTGCTGTTCTGGCTTCATATTTACACTTCCCATTTTTATTCCCCTTAAAATCATTCTTGACTATCCTGTTTTCTTTCAACAGCTTCAGAGGATGATTCCGAAGAAGATGGAGACCATAACAGGACATTTGATATTGCCTAACTTCATATAAGACAGATGGATGATCTGTGAACACAAGTGTTTATTAAAACTGGCAATTAAATATAAATTAATTTTGTGGGGGAATGCCTAATAAATACATTGACTATATATAAAATGAATATATACATACACATGTATGCCTGTATATATATATTCATTCTCAAGTGTTGCTGAATTAAAATTCTGCTGGACTTTTTTAACACAGCAAATCTGATGTTTATAAACTGGTAATCAAAAAGGTTTTTTTCTTTTAGGTGAGTGGGAAAGTATTACCCTTGTTTTAAATATCTAAGCAATGCCCATCAACCCTCTTCTGTGTTCTGATTACTATAGTCATATTTATGAAAAAAAGGTTTGTGTTTTAGTCTCTTGCTAGTGAGAAAAGTGGGACAAAATATGCGTTTGAAATTAAATCCATATGGCACCTAATTATTTTTCTTTTAAAATGCCTTAAGTTGCAGTCTCATTTTGATAATCATTTGCTTCCAGTGTTTAAAAACAAAAACTAAAAAAATGGGAGATGGTTCTGAGAAGAGCATTATATTAGGTTTCCAAATTTAATTTGAATTCCAAATTCACTTAGCAATAAAATCTAATTTTTAAAAAAGTATATAAATATCAAATGCATAAATGATGGATGCATTTTTGTATTGATTTGCAAAATGCAGATTATATTTGATAGGCTATAGTATGTAGATATTCCTTTTAGGAATATTACAGCTGTAAATTATATGAGAATTGCCAGTCAAATGCTATTTGGTTTTAAAAAAAATATTGCAATCTCAAGTTAATGGAATATTTTTAAATCCCACATTCAGAGTTTAAAACACTGGTTTTCAATGTGTTTTTTAGTGTTGTCACTTCTTTATAGATAAATATGATATAAATAACCTGTTTGGATTCTGGTCGTTTTTAACTGTTACTTGGTAATTCTGAGCATTTATTTGATGACTTAGTATTTTTCACTACCTTTGGATGGCAGATGAACGTTATTCACCATGAATGGATCTACACTGTGGTCATGAGTTGTGTATACTTACATAACACTGTATTTTTTCTTCTGTCAATACCCTTTAGATACACTTTAAAACACCTTAAGGTCTGATGTTATTGCAACAAACTACTTTTTCAAACCTAAATAGGAACCATGTAATTTCTGAAAAGTGAATGACAATTTGCCCACACTTAAGTTTGTTGGTTTTATGTAAAACATTGGCTCGAAATAAAGTGCACACTGATTTATTTACAGTTTGAAATGTTTCCTTTTAAACTGGTGTTCAAAGAATTCAAACTTTATAACCAATAATTTTATTAAAATTTCAAATCTCATATAATAATATAAATGTTCTAAAACATTTGCTCACCTCTTGTCAGTTGTTTTTGCATTGTTTGTTGTAAAGCAAAAATATAAAATTTAAGGGTGGTGGTTTTAATATATTCTGTGGGTCCTTAGAGTGCTTTGAATTTGAGCATATATACTTTCAAAAAAATTCAGTGTGATAGTTGTCCTTAGGGATGCTTTGAATTTGAACATACATAATTTTAATAAAATTCAGTATGTTAGTTGTCTTCTGCTTAACCCGTAAAACTTTATTTAAAAATTTTAACTAGTACAAAACATTCATTGGTATGCATATCAGATATTCTATATAGTTTTGTCATTAAATGCTAAATGACAGTGATAACAATGGCTGAAGCTTTGCAGTATTCTTGTAGTTTTCCAGTACCATTTAGTATTTTAATATTGTCATATTAGTTTCAGATTATCATGTAAATGACAGAGGAATAAGAGAAAAGGCTTTCATTGGTTATCAGTTTTAAACTCAGAATCAAAGAGACCATACATTTTTCTAACAAAATATAGTTTAAAATGTTATTCTAAATATCTGCCAAACAAAGAATTATATTGTTATTACTAGCTAGAACCAAGATGTTGAAGAAAGCAGTTTCTACATTCTGAATGTAGTAAACAAGCCTACCTGTGTAACCCAATTATTTCTTGACTAATGAATATATAAGGGGCCTGTTATAGATGTTCAGGTATATAAAGAAAATTAAAATGTAGGCCAAGCAGGGTGGCTTATGCATGTAATCCCAGCACTTTGAGACGCCAAGATGGGTGGTCACTTGGGGTCAGGAGTTTGAGACCAGCCTAGCCAACATGGTGAAACCCCATCTCTACCAAACATGCAAAAAGTTAGCTGGGTGTGGTGGCAGGGGTCTGTGGTCCCAGTTACTCAGGAGGCTGAGGCAGGAGAATTGCTTGAAAACCCACAAGGCAGAGGTTGCATTAAGCCGAGGTCAAGCCACTGCACTCTAGCCTGGGTGACAGAGCGAGAATCCGTCATATATATATAGAGAGAGAGAGAGAGAGCGCACACACTTCATTACCAGAGGCCTCTTGCCCTATTGAAAAATGAAACCAAACATTGAAAATTAAATAAGTTTAAAACAGCTAGTTTGGAAGAGCTGCCATTAGGTAGAAAGTATGAAAACATGCAGAAGAAAGTTGTATGGGAGTTGAGTAGAAGGTAAGATTTAAGAGCAGCACAGCCCAATAAAGCTTCCTTAATGAAACAGTTCTGTAATCTATGTTGCCTGGTATAGTACCTACTAACCACCTGTGATTTGGACACTTGACAATGTGGCTAATGTTACTGGGAGACTGGATTTTAAACTAAATTCAGTAGCCTCATGTGGCTAGTGGCTCATCGGACATTGTAGTTCTAAATGTTTGAGACTGTTGGTTTTAAGTTGGACTTAATCACTTTCTACCCAAATTCTACCACTCCTTTAAGAACTCCTTTAGAACTTTTAGTTCCCATAATACACCATGTTTTTACTGTGCCTGTGGTTCTTCAAGGACTGGTAGAATTTGGGTAGGAAAATCAGGAATTCTAGGGTAATGTTCACTATTGACATTAATAGCCAATCAATAATAAAATAGACTTCTTTATCACTACACAAAATCTCAGAAATGTAAAGCTCTTAACGGAGCATGATTGTCTAACAGCTAGTGTAATGCCTGCATTTTCAATACCAAGTAGCCACACTGTTGATGATAGTTTTCTGTCACTTTTTAGTTACTCATGTCTCGTTAGTGCCATTAATTGTGATGAGGCGTGTTTTCAATTTATGTGGTCAATAAAAAGAGATTACACAAGCTGGGACTTTGTTGCCATTAGTCAAGCTAGTGAGATAGTGTATCTCCCCACAAGAAAGTAAGATAATTGATGGGGTGTGGATTCAGGAGAGGGACTGCTTTTCTTTGAGCTTCAGACTTATAAACAGTATACTTCAGTCAACAATGGAACACATATAGAACGGTGTTCCTATAGTAGACCATACTTTTACCTTTTCTATATTTAGATACACAAATACTTAACTGTTACAGTTGCCTGTAGTATTTAGCACGGTAATATGCTGTGCACATTTGGAACAAAATAGGGTATACCATCTGGGTTTATGTAAGTACAGGCTGATGTTCACACAGAGATTCCTTAACTACGCATTTTTTAAAACATGTCCCCATTGATAAGTGATACATAACTAATTTACATGAAATCTATACATTCTTGCCTGTTTTTGAGTTATTGATGGTGAGGAAAATCACTTAGCTTTTTCTTTTACTCCCCAAATGATTTTCACCTTTTTCTTAAAATGTACAATAAATGTACTAAAAACTTTGATCATCATCACCACAGTTATACTTAGTGTCTTTGGTTTTAGCTTACAGTTTTCATGTCTTTGAAAGAAAAATTAATAAATGAGGAGAATGAGATATATCTTGTATAGGGGAAGGTACAAAAGGTATGGTGGCAGGAGAGAAATCCTTAAAGTGGCACTCTGATATATGTTAACCTAATTGCCAGCTTTCTCCATGCCTTCCTGGACACAGCCATCATATTTTGTTTGAAAAAATTTATAAACTTCCATTAAAACTTGAATCGTGATAAAATGGTGTGTGTAAAAGTAATGAAACTAAAATTAAGGGGTGTTGTAAAAGTTGTAAAATTTTCTTCATCTAAATCATAAAAGGAGATATATATTCTAGAGGAATTACCTGCCAAAGTAACCATTATCAAAGATATTTAAATGTATGGGATATACTTAAAATCACTTATTCCCCATTATTTACTAATAAACATATAAGTAAATAGAAGGGAAGATACATCAGGCAAGACAAATAGGCTAGGCATTTATTTTTATCTGCTTCTTGGGCTTAAAGCTTTCCTTCATTCAAGTGACATTCTGCATTTGACGAGGTGGTTGAAATCACTGCATTAGATCTATGATCATTTCTAAAACCTGATTCTATGATGAACCTAAAAATTTTTGTCACAACAGATGAATACATAAAAATAATGTTACTAAAATAAGGAATACCATTAAAGTTCTAAGATCCAATGTCAAGTTTTATATTAAAATCCTTCCCAAGAATCTCGGCCAAGGCATTTTGTTGATATCTTAGTGCAAGATTACCAAAAGCTTAGTCAAATTGAACAGGATATTCATTTTCTTCTGCAACTACCAAAACACAGTCTTCGTTATAAGGTGATTCGGATGCAGTTGAAAAAACTGTGGTAAAATGAGAATCAGAATGTCTTTTGTACAGGAACCAAATGATTGCTCCCAAAACTGTCAAAATTACTGTGCTGGCAATCACCAATCCTATTAAAATGTGGTTATCTGAAAAGGAAAAGACAATATATGGGAGATTCAGATACACAAGTTGCAAGTATATTTTGGGGAGAACAACTGTAGTTTAGTGTAAACATTCTCTGTGTTGAGAATTTCCCACACTGGTGAGAAAACAAAAATTTCACATTTATGACTATCAAGATTTGTATTTCTTTGCCTGAAGAACATTACTCAAATTTTCTAGGAAGTTGTGCGCTTCTTCACTCTACTTAAGATCCTAAAATGGAAATCACCATGCTCCAGTTTGTCTTCCTTGGCTTTACTTTCTGACCTAAGACTACAAATTCAGACTTACTCTTCCCTTTAGGAATTGAAGTATTTAGATATTGTGTTATATTATTAAGGTTTAATGGTTCACCTGGCTTTGGGAATTTAAGATTTGTTTAACTGAAAAAACACCAAGAGTTGCAGTAAGTACCTTGCTTTTGTGTGTCTTTCCATTCTTTGATTCTTTTGTTTCCCTAAAGTTCTATAAGTATGCACAACTTTGCAGTTCTTGCCCATTCAAAACCTTTTTTATCTTTCTATAAGAATCCAGTCTAATGAATTGAGGAAAATCACTTGGTTTAGAAGTCAGGAGGATGAAAATACTTTTGGGCAGGTACTTGTATTACATATAGTAATAGACTAAAGAATGTGAAAATTCTTCAGAATTGCTTTTTTTGGCAGATTTTTTATTATTAAATATATTCATAATACTCATTCTGGTGCTTGTTAAAATGAGACCTGGAAGAATTTAAGATTAGTGAGAGAAATCTGGCCAAAATTATTTGTTAAAGTGAGGGAGAGCCATTGATATTTTTCAAATATTGACAGGATTTTTTGGGAGAAGTAAGGAAATGGCCACAAGTGAATTATCTTTTTAATCCTGAAATAAAATTTGGTAGTAAAGATTTGGTAACGTGTGAAGGCGGGTTTGGTGGTGGTACTATTAAAGACATTAAAATGAAAAAAGCCAAGATTCTGTAAACTGATTTAAAATGGGTTCCTTCCATTAGTTGGTTACTGCAACCTCTGCCTTCTGGGTGCAAATGATTCTCGTGCGTCAGCCTCCCGGGTAGCTGAGATTACAGGTATGTGCCATGATGTCCAGATAATTATATTTTTAGTAGAGACAGTTTGGCCATGTTGCCCATGCTGGTCTGAAACCCCTGGCCTCAAGCAATCTGCCCCCTATGCCTCCCAAAGTACTAGGATTATAGGTGTGGGCCACCATGCCCAGCCCCCTAGTTTTGTTAAAATTAGCATAGCTGATTTTCAGTGTAGAACCTTAACATTACTAATGTGAACACACTGAGTCTACTAATGATTGTACAATAATACCTTCATAATCAGTAGCATCTACTTTGAATAGTGATTACATGATAGTAATATAGAAAAAAACTTAAGTCTGAAATATGATAATTGAGAATTATTTACAGACTCAATCATATAGCTTTAAATAGAAGACCTGGTATCCTAAGAACTGGACAGCATCCAAGATCGGTGGGACACAGTAAGTATACATGCTTATATTTTCAATTCTGCAAGTGACTGTTGGCCAAAGTTGCCTCCATGGGTTTTAGTTAGCTAGCTGCATACTACTAAAATGTATGACAAAGTCAATTGTCAAGGCAGCTGATGAGAGTCTATTAAAACAATATGTGGCCGGGCGCGGTGGTTCACGCCTGTAATCCCAGTACTTTGGGAGGCCGAGGCAGGTGGATCACGAGGTCAAGAGATCGAGACCATCCTGGTCAACATGGTGAAACCCCGTCTCTACTAAAAATACAAAAAATCAGCTNGCTGAGGCAGGAGAATTGCCTGAACCCAGGACGCGGAGGTTGTGGTGAGCCGAGATTGCGCCATTGCACTCCAGCCTGGGTAACAAGAGTGAAACTCCGTCTCAAAAAAAAAAAAAAAAACCCAATATGTATAGTTTCTATCTGGAGGTTAGGTCAGTTTTTCATTAGGAAATAATATTATCTATGTCATTAATGAAAGGAAGAAACCATTGCTTGCCTGACTACGCATATTATAGCTATTTACCATGAATTAAAAAAAAAAAAATTTAGGAAAAAATTTTTTAGCCTAACAATGTTCCTTACTTGAGGAAACATAGCAAACACCAAAACAAGCTTACCATTGCTTGCCTGACCAAGCATATAATAGCTATTTACCATGAATTTAAAAAAACAAAATTTAGGAAAAATCTTTTTTAGTTTAACAACGTTCCTTACTTGAGGAAACATAGCAAACACCGAAACAAGCTTTCACTTCTCTGTCATTTTTTAAGCCCATTTAATCCATTTTCTCAAAATTTCTTCTGAAATTTCTGTGGCAAAGGTTACTAATGATCTCTGTATGACTAAATGCATAAACAGTTGGATGTTTTAGTTCATCCTGAGGTAACTAGATTGTTAGCTGTCCAGCCTTGAAGTTATCTCCTCACTTGGCTTCCCTGACATTGCCCTCTTCTATTTTTCAGACAACTACTTCCTAGTCATCTTTGTGCACTCAAAGCTTTCCATGGTTGATCTCAACCATTCAAGTCTTTTATGTAAATCCATAGATAAATATGTGTGTAGCCCCACTTTACTCCCAAATCTAACCTAAGTTCTTGCAAACAACCACTTGGCCCAGTCATCCAATCTGGAAATTGTAGACTTCCTCTCTATTTTCAAGGCTACACATTTTTCTTTTGTTTCCTGTTTATCTAACTGCTACTTTCATGCCCTAGTTGTAACACTGATCATCTGAGGCCCGAACTATACCATATCCACCTCTCAAAAATGATGTGACACATTTTGTTGGGCTGTAACCTCAGGTTAGTTTGAGTGCCAACTGTGCATTTAATTACAAGGCACAGGGTTCAAATGACTTGCCCAAGTCCATTTAATAAATGGCAGCAAAAATTGAACCCTTTACCTTGGTCCTGATTTGTCATATCAGATAACCTGTCTTCTGTCTCCTGCTTGATGTCTACTTCTTGAAGATTTAACTCCTGCATCCTCTCCAGTAACCTTTGCTGAACACTTTGGACTAACTTGCCCTTTCCTGTCTGCTTGCCACACTAGGTGCATCCAACTATGGACACCTTAATTCTGTTGAAAGCATTCTTCCCAAAGGAGTCTTCCAGTTTACACTTGGTATGAAGGAGAACTCCTTGTTTGCCAAGATTGCGGCTACACTTAACTATTGGTTTGTTTCCTTGCTGCTTCAACTCCATATTCTCTACTGTTACTCCTTAAAGTCAGGCTAAGCCTAATCCCTATCTACATGATAGGCTTCTACTTTGACTTTAGGTCTTCATTCTGCAAAAACAAGGCCTTATCAAATGAGGACTTCCCTGGCCACCCTACTAAAATGCAATGGCTCCCTTCTTGTTCTGGGGTTTATCCTTATCTTCCTTTTTTCCCTATAGGATATGTTACCATCTCACATTTAAGTAATACAGATTTACATATACACACATATGTACATGCATACATGTAATGAATTCAGAGATTACTTTTCCTGTAGTCTGAAGACCATATGTTGCCAGATCTTTTAACTATTTGTGGTTTTGAATCCATGGACCTATTTTTTTCTAAATGTTTCAACTTACATATATCTTTTTATATTTTCCAAATACATTTACATAGCTTTAAAGTCATAGTTCTAGAAGATACATAATGAAAATACTGTGCTCCTGCTCCACTACTCCTCACCTGAACATCCATTCCTTAAAGTTAACTACCCCAGTTGCTTCAGCTATTTATCTTCATGTCTAAATAACTTGCATCCACTACTTGATTTTATTTAAAATGCAATTAAAAGAAATACATATAACAAATACCATCTTAGGTAAGCAGTAGCATTAAGTACATTCACTTCATGCTACATGACCACCATCCGTTCACAGAACAACTCATTTTGTAAAATGGAAAGTACCTATTAAACTCCCATTTCTCCCTGCCCTTACCCTTGGCAAACACTTTCTCGGTGAGGTTGACTACTCTAGGTACCTCATACTGTAGATAAGAATTATACAAAATTTGGCCTTTTGTAACTGGCTTATTTCCTCTTTCTCCTTTTTTTCTTCGTTCTCTTTTTCTCTTTCCTTCCCTCCTTCCTTCCCTTCTTTCCCTTCCCTTCCCCTTCCTTCCCTCCCATCTTCCTCTCTTCTTTCTCCCTCCCTCCCTCCCTCCCTTCCTTCCTTCCTTCGTTCCTTTCTTCCCTCCTTCCTTCTCGGTGAGGTTGACTACTCTAGGTACCTCATACTGTAGGTAAGAATTATACAAAATTTGGCCTTTTGTAACTCGCTCCTTCCTTCCTTCCTTCCTTCCTTCCTTCCTTCCTTCCTTCCTTCCTTCCTTCCTTCTTCCTCCCTTCCTCCC